GAGAAGCCTACTATAAATTCTCGGAAATATGATGCCAGCCCCAAGAAACTCTGGACTTCTTTAATCGTCCTGGGCTCGGGAAAATCCCGCACCGCAGCGACACCCCGGTCGGTGGGTCTCAGCCCGCTTACACTAACGCCGCATCCTAGATATTCAATTTTCGTACAGAGAAACGAGCATTTGTCCAATCGCAAGTCTAGCTTGTTGTCCACCAACGCTGTGAACACTTTTCGGAGAGTATCCGGGTGAGAAGCCAAACCTTCACTCGCCACCAGGATGTCGTCCATGTAGACTACAACGGTACCGGCCTTCAGAAACTCTGACAGTACCTCATTAATAAATCCTTGGAAGCATTGAGGACCTATTTTTAACTCAAACGGCATTCGGACATACTCAAATGGCCCCCATAGGCGTTATGAACGATGTATACCTTACTGAATCGGGCGACATGTGCATGTGATAAAACCCATCTTTGAGGTCAAGAGTGCTGTAAAATAGCTTACCCCTCAATGTATCTAGCTCTCCGTTTTTTTTCCTAGTCAGCCCAATAGGCGAGGTATACTCTGACTTGCTTTTTCGGATAATGCCTCGATCCAGTAAGCCATCCATTGTTTCCTGTCCTTTTATCTTGTCAGCTATGCTCAACCTTCGAGGACCAAACTGAACAAGTTGTTTATTCTTTAGATTAATAATAGCCTCTCCCTTCACCCTCGGTTCTGTGGGTCTCTGGGGAAGAAAGATTCAATGAAGATAGTCTTAAAAGCCAGTCGGTCATCTACCGGTATTTATGTAAACCTGATCGGTCAGGTGATTACGATCGATGTCTACTTTAAGGATTTGCATAACCGCTTTGTCGTACTCTAAATCTTTAGTCAGCCGATATCCGAACAGTTCTAACGCATCCCTTCCTAGTAAAGCCTGGCTAGACATTGTACTACTGTTTACTACTCCGAAGGTAATAAGCCTAGTTTCACTTTCCAAAGTGACGTTAGCTCGCACAATACCAACTACCTGAAGCCGAGATTTGTTTATACCGTAATATCAATCCCATTCAAGACCTGGGCTTTCGAGTGTTTTAACGTGAATTAGCTGTTTCCTAATGAGACTGATTGGGCAACCAGAGTCTATTTGCGCAACGCACGAAAATGAATCGGTACCTTCGACTTCACAGCAAATAGGTTTTTGATACTCATCTCTGGGCTCCTGATCTTCGTTCACCAGATAAATTGCCTCTTCCTCCGGAACATCTTTGTCATCGACGTCCTCGTCCACAGAGCATTCAGATCCGCTCTCAGCTTCCTCCCTAATGGCTCCTACCTGCCGCTTGCTCGTCCGATCCGGTGGCGTCTTCGTCTGGTCGTTCGTCCCGTCACCCTTTTTCTCTTTTGCCGGACAGTCTTCCGAGTAATGGCCGGTTTGGTTGCATGTGTAGCATCTGACAATTCCTCTAGCTGCAAGTTTTGCCGATGTCGCCGTCTGTTCTTTGCTGGTATCGTTTCGGCCCGCCTTTCTCGACGCCTCGGTCCCTACCGAGGTATTAGGGCTGAATCGATTAGTTTCTTGAACTAACGAAATGTTCTTGAAAGCCTTTAGTACTTGTTGCACATTTGAGAAGGAATGCATCCTCGCTTGATTGCGCAAGGTCTCAGAGGGTATGCCGTCCACCAGATATTCGACTAATTCATCGTCTTTGAGGGAGATTCGATTCCCCAGAATAATCTTGTCGTGCCAATACTCGTTGAAGGATTCTTCTTTCTTCCATTTCCTCGCTTCAAATTTGCGCCGTGAATCCAGCCGTCCCAATGGGTGATCGAATATATTCTCCATTGCTTGAAGAAGGTCGCCTAGACTCATCGACAAATACTCGGCGCGAGATCGATACCATTTTTGCGCCTTGCCTCGCAGTTTGGATCCGACCATCAGCTTAGCGGCACTCTCGGTTAGTTCGTAGGTTCGTAGGTTTCGCGTAATAGGTTAACCTAACTTTTCCATAACTGAAAATCTTCCCCTGATCCATCGTAATCTCCCAGCAATTTACCAACGTTTTTGATATCAATAGTAGTACGTGAATCTACCGATGCGTTACTCACCGGTGACCTGCTAAGAAGTTCATTTTCTCGCCTCAGTATTTCGATTTCCTTGCGCATCATTTCTCTTTCTTTATCCGCTAATTGTGCTTCCCTTCGGCTTAACTCGCGCTCGTATCGATTCTGGTCGTGAGTGTCTTCCCCTTGTTTGTCCGTGATCTCCCCGAGTCCACCGACAGCTCCTTCTTCCTGTTCGCCGATAACCTCTTCGTCCGATTCACCTGCGGTGTCGCCAGCGGTCCTAGCTGCTTCCATCCACGTGCCTGTCGGGTCGGCGTTCTGCAATCTAGCGATGAGTTCGTTCTTTCGTCCGCTCGTTGGCAGTTGACGCTGTCTCTACGCTTCCTTTAATTGTGTCATTTTAAATTCTTGAGGATTCATCTTGTCTGTTGACGTGCACGGCGCGCGCACCGCGTACCGTAAGGCTGGTAACCCTTTGTCTCTCACGCACACAGCTACGCGAGGTCACCCGAACGCCCACACAGCGATCGCTTCTTCACGTCCACCCAGACGTTCTGCTTTCCTGAATCGTAGGCCGAATCTTCTATTCCGGTTACCCGCACACAGCTGGGTAATAACAGAATCTCGTACCGGATCCTGGTGAGCGTATCGAATATGGCTTTTTCCGACGCACCGTTCCACGCTGTACTTGTCCCCCGTTTTCCTTGGCGAGTGATCCCACTTCTGAATTTGTGGTAATATGTATATTTGCTTATTTGGTGTATAAACGTATTTATTAGAGGAGCTCGCTTTGTACACGTGTCTCTCGCTTCTTGTCGGACGACATATTGAAAACCATTTCTTTTCCGGAAGTGGGCCTGACGACGAGGTCAGGCCGGCGCATGCTTCAGTAGCGGCTAACAGAAAAGGGGGCCCCACAAACATGGTAGCAGAGCGTGGTTCGCCGAGACCGTGGTTCGCCGAGAGCGTGGTTCGCCGTGAGTGCGGTTCGCTGTGACTGCGGTTCGTCGTGGGCGTTGTCTCGTGAGCAAGGATCTCGTGTACGGGCGTGAACGCGGAAAACGCACTGACATTGTCTTTGTGTCCTGTGAGGAAACGACCGGAAGATGGAATATCAAGGAATCGAGAAGCTTCGTGGCGCGGATAATTGGAACGTTTGGAAGTTCGCCGTGCGGAATTTACTGCGTGGAACGGAAAATGCGTACGAAGTATGCATCGGTGAAATTCTAAAACCGAATCTGCTGCCGACGGATGCGACAACCCAGCAACAAGAACAGTATCGAGAAGGTCTAAAAAGGTGGGACAAAGCCGATCGTGCCGCGAGTCAAATCATTGTTAAGACGCTGGATACGAAAGTAATGGCGCTTCTGGTTTCATGTGAGACTGCGCGGGATATGTGGCTGAAACTACACACGATTTATGAACAACAGACAAAATAAGCTTCGCATACTGTCCAATCGGAATTTTTCAATTTCAACATGGATCCGTCGGACGACATGGTGACTCACATTTCCAAATTCGAGGGACTAATCCTACGCATGCAGCAATTAAATGTAAAGCAGAACGAACTATCGCTATCGGTTAAGTTGCTGGATACATCGCCAGAGGAATACGAGAGTCTTCGCCAGGCATGGTGGGCAAGAGCAGAGAATCAGCAAACGTTCGGTAATCTGCTTGAGGTATTAACCTCTGACGACGCACGCCGGAGGACTCGAGTCGGAAAGCAGGAACAGATGGCTGCACTAGTGGCGAGCAAATCTAAAAGACACGATTGCGGAAATACTTGTGGTAACGCTAAGAAAGGACAGTCACAACAATCAAGTGAATCAAAGCTTAATGAAAAAGGGAAAAGCAAGTCGAACTATAAGGCTGGATTCACATGGAGCGTAACTTGCGTAGCGTAACCTGCGTATCACCAATCACAGGGTCATTCTGATAGAACCGTTTCAATAATTCCGTTGAACTAGTCCTGTGATTGGCGATACGCAGGTTACGCTACGCAACTTACGCTCCATGTGAAAGCACCCTAAGTGCTACAATTGCGGAGAAAAGGGGCACTTTCGTCAGAATTGTCCTAGGAAACAGAAGAAAACGCAAGATAGCAATCCGAAAAAAAGAAGCTTTTGTTTGCGAAGCCATGACAGCTGAGCTCGACAATGATTCGTGGATAGTGGATTCCGGTGCAACGGATCACGTGACAAACCGAAGTGACTTGTTTACATCGTTTGATTATTTCAGTACACCAGCGAAGATCTATATTGGAAATAAAACTACAATGGACGCCCTAGGAAAAGGAACAATCAAGATTGAAACTCTAGTTGACGGAAAATGGTTACTGATACACAACAGACATTGAGTGCGTTCCGGCAAGACACTGCTACCGTAGCGCTACGGTAGCGCTACGATAGCGCTACACGAGTACGTTTCGGCAAAACGTACCGCTACAACTTCGCGGAACTTCTTCCTCTTTAACGTTGCTTTCATCTGATGAATCTTCGAACAATATGTCATTCATGAGCCAATCTTCAATATATTCCATTCTATTCGTTTCAATTAATTTTGTAAACGAGGTAAACGCGACTCTTATAATTCAATTTTGAGGTTATGCACGCTAATGTATATATGGCACCGCTACAATTGTAGCGAAAAAGCTGTAGCGCTACGGTAGCAGTGTCTTGCCGGAACGCACTCATTGATACTCCCGACTTTCGACACTAGGGGGACAACAAAACCCGAGAGGGGGCGCGGGGTGCTGAGTACGGCAGTACGGTGCCGCTCGCTAATGTGTACGGCTGTAAAATAAAGAGGTTATATAAGTTGGTAGAACTCGTGTTATCTCTCCACAATCGCGATAACCCTCAGATCTACTACACTGGCGACGAGGATAACGCAAAGAACGCACGCAATACACATTTTCTAACTCTAAAAACGCGAAAATCAAAATCCAACAAAATGGACAATACGCAGTTCTCGGAAATGATGAAATTCATGCGCGAAGATGCTCAACGACGAGAGGAAGCACATACAAAACAAATTGAGCAATTGCGTGAGGAGGCTCTACGACGAGAGGCAGCTATTATCGAACTGGTCAAGAGTCAATCATAGGTCAACCTAACCTTGGAAGGCAACAACGGCAATGAGGCCATCGCTCAGTCTGTCACGATCCAACCTCCTGAAGAGTACATCGAACGTAAAATCACCGCTTTCACATACGATCCGGTTGTTGGACTCACTTTCGACAAGTGGTACGAACGCACTGCCACAGTTTTTGCATCAGACCGCGGCAAGCAAGTTCCGGAATCTGAAAAGTGCGCCATCATTCGCTCAAAACTAACCTCGTCGGATTACCAGACTTTCGCTGGAAATATTCTGCCTAAGAAGCCGGAAGAACTCACACTCATCGACACCGTTAAGCACCTTAAGCAACTTTTCGGTCGCAGAGAAACGATCTTCGCACGACGCTTCAAAGTTTTGCAGATTCAGAAGAAATCCGATGAATCCTTCGCTACGTACACAGCACGTGTCAATCAGGCAGCAGAGGAATTTGAGCTCTCTTCATTCGACAGCGACGACCTAAAGGTGCAACTCTTCACACAAGGCCTCACGGCACCAACCGATTCACGTATCCGCAAGAAGCTCATGGAATCGGTGGACGATCGACTCACGAAGCGAACGGAGGAAGGCGATGCACCTACGACGAACAAGCTCAAGATCAACGACATGCTTGCTATTGCTCGACGCATGATGGTCCGAGATGAAGAAAGCAAGGTCATCGAGAACCAACCGAGCACCACTGTTGCAAGCAAGCCAAGGGGATCTATCCCGAAGTGTCGCATGTGCGGTGACACTCACTGGCATCGCGACTGTCCATTTACCTCGAAGACCTGCGGGTCGTGCTCAGCAACTGGACATAAGACGGGCTTCTGCAAATCAGCCAGAGACTTCAACGAACGAAACAAGAAGAGGGGTAAGGAACCGTCAACAGTAGTGCACAGCACGTCGGTCCAGCACAAACCATCTCGTAAGACTCTCAAACCAAAGATCAACGGCATTGGCGTGGTTCTCAAACACGACATGGGCTCAGATTGGACGATCATCACCGAGAAGGACTGGAAACGATGCGGCAGTCCCAAGCTCCTCCCATCCAAGGAAACGGCTACCAGCGCCTCAGGAGGCGCCATCGAGTCACTGGGCTCATTTTCTGCAGTTATCGAACTCAAAGGACGCATCGGAATTGTTCCAGTCCACGTCACAAAACGCAACCTGAGCCTCTTCGGCAACAATGCACTTGAAGCCCTCGAACTTTGGGACCAACCCATCACGACTTATTGCGACAGCATCGAGACGAACCCACTGGCAGAGGAGGTAAGAAACAAGTTTCCTAAACTTTTCTCGTCTTCTCTGGGTAGATGTACCCTTCAGAAAGCATCCCTCAAACTAAAGGAGGGAGCTCGAGTACCATTCTGCCGCGCCCGACCAGTTGCCTTCGGAGTCCGCAGCACTCTCGACGAGGCCTACGACAAATTGGTCGACAAGGGTGTCTTCACACCAATCAACTACGCACACACAGCAGCCCCAGTCGTCGTCGTCAAGAAAAAGGACGGTAGCATCCGAGTCACCGCCGACTATTCAACCGGTCTCAACCGCGCGCTGGAATCATTCAATTACCCGCTACCGACTCCCGAATCAATCTTTGCGACACTCTCCGGCAACGACACATTCTCGACACTCGATCTCACAGAAGCGTTCCTTCAAATCGAGTTCGACGACGAAGCAAAAGACCTTATGGCAGTCAACACTCATCGAGGACTCTATCGTGTTAACCGACTTCAATTCGGCGTCAAAACGGCACCCGGTCAGTTCCAACAACTCATGGACAGCATCTTAGCAGGCTCGGGAGCATCGCCGTACTTAGACGATATCATTGTTCCAGGCAAGGGTGAAACCGATCATAAAAAGAGACTCTTCGACATTCTCAAGCGACTGGAGGACGCCGGTCTCCGACTTAAACTTGGAAAATGCAAGTTCGGCCAACCCTCGATCAAGTTCCTCGGCAAGATCATCGACGCAGAAGGCCAACGCCCAGACCCTGAGAAACTCCAGATCATCCGAGACCTCCCCCAACCGGCGGATATCTCACAGCTACGAGCATTCTTGGGCGCAATCAACTGGTATGGCAGCTTCATTCCGAACTTGAAAGACTTGAGAGGACCGCTCGACGAACTGCTACGCAAAGACGAGAAATTCGAATGGACGGAGCGACGAAGCAGAGCTTTCACGCAGCTCAAACAGGCTCTCCATTCAGACCTTGCTCTTTCTCACTACGACCCGGGGAAACCACTGGTCGTCGCCGCCGACGCCTCCAGCTATGGTGTCGGTGCAGCTTTACTACAACGTCTCGAGGACAGCACCCTGAGACCGATCCAATACGCGGCCATCTCTTTCAACAACGCCGAACGTAACTACGCTCAGGTTGAACGTGAGGCCTTGGCCCTGGTCTACGCAGTCAAGAAATTTCACCGCTACATCTACGGACGACACTTCGAACTGCAAACGGACCACAAACCGCTTCTCAAGATCTTCGGTGACAAGAACGGCATCCCGGTCCACACGGCAAACCGACTGAGACGTTACGCGAACACTCTGCTTGGATACGACTTTACTATCAGGTACATCGACAACGCCAGCTTCGCATACGCCGACTTCGTCCCACGCCTGATCAGCACTCATGCCAAACCGGGAGCCGAAGACATCGTCATAGCAGAGATCCGACAAAGCGACTACGAGGAAGAAGAAACGGAGTTTATGGTCGACGCGGTGAACTCACTTCCGGTCAAACTCGAGGACCTCCAACGCGCCACATCCGATTGCTCACACCTTCAACTCGTCATGAGCTACGTCAGAGCTCACTGGCCTACACAGCGGCGTCAAATTCCTGACTCAGAAGCAGCAGAATACTTCATTCACCGTCAAGATCTACGAATCATCCAGGATTGCCTCTTCTCGGGCGATCGACCAATCATCCCACCGATTCTTCGCACGAAAGTCCTTGGCGAACTCCACACCGGACATCCGGGCTCATCTCGCATGCAAGGCCTCGCCAACGAAAAATGCTTCTGGCCGAACATGTCTCGACACATCTCATCATTCGTCCAACGTTGCTCCAAATGTGCCACAAACGCCAAGTCCCCAGTAAAAGAAATTCTCCACCCATGGCCGGTCCCTAACAAACCATGGAAACGCATACACATAGATTTCGCCGGTCCCATCGACCACGACTCCTTTCTAGTAGTGGTCGATGCTCATAGCAACTGGCCCGAGGTCGCCCGCATGCGATCAACTACGGCGGAGAAGACAACAGAAGCTTTGTCAGAGATCTTCGCCAGATGGGGAACCCCCGAAACAATCGTCTCCGACAACGGTCCCCAGTTCATCTCCAGCACATTCAAAGACTTCTGCGCCAACAACGGCATCAAGCATGTCACCTCTGCGCCTTACCACCCTCAGTCGAATGGAAGAGCAGAGAAATTTGTCGACACTCTCAAACGAGGACTGCTAAAACTCGAGGGAGAAGGAAGCATTGATGAAAAACTACGCATTCTCCTGTCCAGCTATCGTCAAACGCCGTGTGCAGCCCGCGGAGGAAGTTCACCCTTTGAGCTCATGACTGGCCGCAAGATGCCATCCCGACTCGACCTTCTCCAGCCAGCGCAACGCTCAACAGTCAGTCTGCCTCATAGCATGTCAAAACAATTCAACCAGCATCACGGAGCACGCCTCCATACATACAGGGCCGGAGACCCAATCTTCTACCAGATGCATTCGGGAAACGGTTGGACATGGCAGACAGGCTCAATTGTCAAACAGCTCGGACGGACAAACTACCTAATCACGGTCGACAACAGAATACTGAAGGCTCATACGAATCAGCTTAAACGACGATATCCAACCGAAGAAGAGCATGAAGACGACACTTACGAACCTTCTGGTTCTCCACAGTCCACACAGACGATTCCGCACACTCGAGCAACCGAACCGGACGAAGCAGGTGACAGCGACAACGCGAACCTCGAATCAGATTCGGAAGAGTTTGAGTCAGCACTCGAAGAATCAACTGATGTAGACCTGGAAGACGAAGCTCCGGAACCGGTTCGGACGCGAGCACAGCGCTCAACAGCGGGACGACTGCCCGAGCGATACAGAGATTTCGTCATCGACCTTATCATGGCGCTCACGAGCCGCCGGCTTTAACCCGAGCAGGGAGCGGACATAATACTCCCCCCCCCCCCAGCTTACCCAGCTTGCCCGTTCTTTCTTTCACAGATCACTCCCAATCTTGGCAGGAAGGACTGATACACAACAGACATTGATACTCCCGACTTTCGACACTAGGGGGACAACAAAACCCGAGAGGGGGCGCGGGGTGCTGAGTACGGCAGTACGGTGCCGCTCGCTAATGTGTACGGCTGTAAAATAAAGAGGTTATATAAGTTGGTAGAACTCGTGTTATCTCTCCACAATCGCGATAACCCTCAGATCTACTACAGTTACCTGGACAAATGGAAAATGTGTTGTTTGTGCCGGCTGCTCGTCGAAACTTGTTCTCGGTAATTTCAGTTCTGGACAAGGGCATGAAATTCAGTTCCTCGAAGGACAGTTGTGAGTTTGTAAAAGACGGTATTATCAAAACTCGCGGAGTGCGTGTTAATTAGCTGTTCAAGGTGGTAATTCGTGTAAGACCGCCTGAAAAGGCATGCATAGGAGAGGTTAACTTGGCATCAAAAGACTCTCTACATGCGTATGGCACGAACGCCTCGGCCACCAGAATAAAATTCATGTAAAGAAATTTCTCGTGAAAAATCAGATCGATTTTTTCGACGATAATCAGTTTTGTGGTTCATGCATTGAGGGGAAGCAACACCGAAACAGTTTTCAATTACGTCAACAGCGTGCTGAATCATGAAACTTCACCTGGTGAAGTTATTCATGCCGATCTGTGTGGTCCCATGGAAACAGCGTCACTTGGCGGATCAAAATACTTTGTGTGTTTCACGTGTGACTATTCAAGGCTACGCATCGTTTATTTCTTGAAGAAGAAGTCTGAAAC